ATAATGCCTTTTTCTCTTTCTGTCACTTCTCGCTTTGCTTTGGGGGATCCATTTTTCCTTCTTTTATTTTGTTGGTCCTGTTCTTTTGTATCTTTTCAAGTCCTCTCCAGTCAAAACCGAGATTAATTTAACATCATAAACCATCTGCTTGGGTTCCAGTAGGAATTGATTTACATGGCACTTAGAACTAAGTACATGGCACTTGGAACTAAGCCTCTCTGTGGCTTTTTCATCTAGTTGTGAATTTCACTTTGGGGGCCAAACGATCGCAATCTGATTCCATTTTTATTTATCTATTTGGACCATTCCCAATATGACTTTCACTGTAGGGCTTTAGGTTACCGTAATACTCACCTTGACGTGTATGAAAACTTAAGTACTGTAGATCTGAAGAGGTTGATCCATACCGTCATTTGGTATACCACAATATCCTTCTGCCAGCACAAAACAACCTTCTTTTTACTATTACGATTTAAGTTTTGTAGATGCTATTTGACATTATCATAATTTCCAGAAATCTCTTGTGATATAGGTAGTGGATTACAACTCACAAAGATGAGAATAGAGGCTGGTTATCTTAGTCCAACAACATTCAAGGTTTAACACTCTGTATTTGAGTCTTGGTAACCTTGTACAGGAATAGCTTGCAGTGTTCGTATTTATGAGTTGTGCTTCACTTTTGCAGTTTAAATGTAATAATCATCTGAGGAAGGGACTCTGAAGGTCTGGAGTCATACATCAGAAATCTTGTAGTTTGAGATAATGGATGATATAAAAATGCAATTCTTTTCTAAATAAATGTAAAATAGAACACTAAAAACTAAAATCTGTCATTTTAAATGGTACAAGTGAATGTAGGCATCAAAACATTATAATGTACAGTATGAAAAACAATATTCATTTTGAGATCGGCTAAAGCCTTTATTTACAGTGTTAAAATACTTTTTGATGATGAAATTTACACGCAGAGTTAAATATCCTATATTTTCTATGTATATCTCTAATAACATTATTGTGAATCTCTAGTAATATTGTTGTCATCATGCTGTGGATAGTCTCCCGCTGACCCTCAGTCTCATAGAAATAAGCCAATACCACTTACACAGCAAATCCTCTCCTTGACTACTGTGATAAAAATCCACAATTATTGCCTGTCTTATTAAAGCGCATTGTTGTGAATCTGTTTTCTCCACATTGTACCAAACACATTTGCATTCACAAGCCCGGGCTATTCACTGTCCGAGCAGAGCGAGGCCCTTTTGTTCCTCTGTGATTGGATTGCACCTCCCTGCATGCATGAGGATGGAAAGCGGGCCGCTGCCTGCCTGTGTTAACAGCCAAATGTGCTCACGGCTCTGCACCGCAGGCATGAGCACCTGACAGCCTGCTATTTGATTGCTAATCATTTTCGAGCCTGTGCCTGGTCTTTTTGATTTGCTCTGCACACTGCCTTGGTTAAATGGAATCAATTAAATGCGTGCTTGTATTCGACGACCACTTCCAGGAGATCAACTTCTTTATGTAGCAACACAACAAGATTAATTAAATCCAATAAAGAACTCAATTAACAAAAGGAAGGTAGCGGAGGAAGGGTCAGATGGATTTGTGTGTGCGCTTTGTGTAAAGAAACCGAAGTTATTTTGGAGTGTTTTGTTTCTTGTCTGCGTCTGTAAATGAGCTTACTTTAAAGCACTTGTTGTGTTACTTTATTATTTTTCATGTGTTCTGGGACTATGAGGGCAATTACAAGAGCCAAATGGTCGTCTATTCACTGAATATGCACACAATCATTATTCCACAAGCACCCTCAGGATGTATATTCCCAGGATAAGCTACTGTAGTGAAGTAGTTACTGACTAGTTTTCAGTTAAAACACACCACTGGGTTACTTCTGTGTAACCACAAATTTTTCACTGCCACAAACTTTGTTGATAAGTTGAGTGCACTTAAG